TTATAGGGAGAAGTTACATGAATCAGTCACTTTTGGGAGTTTTTAAATTGTCTATTATTTTGGTCTGATTCTTTCAATGCTGTCTTGCCGCCTAATAGATTACCATGAGTCACGAACTGAAATGGTTTTTCAATGTATAACGAGCATAAGTTGTCCTGGGCCAGATAGGTTTCAAAATATTATGACATCTGTTAGCTAAAGTTTCCCTCATGGGTTGATAGAAAGAAGGGTTATAATCAAGTGGTTCTACAGGCTCTATTGTATAGTTTCCCATCAGATACAATGTACAAATGGCAAACTAAAATACATCTTGATAAACAAAATGGGAACAACTTTAACTGAAGAATATGCTACAACAACAAATACCACATCAACAACAGCAGCAATGAAAAATCTCCTCGACCTAGATGGCTACAGCCTTTGCCTCGCTTTCTAAGCCATACTGAACAACTTCTGTGGTACTTCCTGTAATGTGTTCCTCTCAACACAATGTGGCGATATTCTCGTGAAACCACGGGGTAATCATAAAGCTGAATGAAATTCATGGTAAATTACGGAGACCTCTCGACCATCCAAGGGCTGAAATCCTTACCATAGTTGCTTCGTATTTGAAGTCGCTCTGGTTTTGTTCTAGGTCCTGGACATCTGTAAGAAGTTCTCGGTTTTCTCCGCTACTCGATGGAAGGATGTGTCAGATCAGCAAAGCATAAACTTTCGACACTAAGTCGGCTCTAATTCCGCCTATCGATTTTGAATTAGATTTTAAAATCTCCCTGAAATCTTTTGCTTCGAGTTTCTGGATGTTATCTAATGACGAAATTTCCATATTGTTGTATTAAAGAACCATTTTGCAGAGAGAAATCGCATTGAAAAGTGCATAAGAACGTGAAATGTCAGCAGATCAGCAGTTTGAAAGAAACGCCGGATTAACCCTAGCCTCGTTATCGTGTGTGCGCGGTTACTAATCCAGTATGGCGCTGGGAACTGTAAAAAGGTCTATTGTTCCTTCTATGTCCGAATCACTTTCGATGAAATGGAATCGTCGTTTGCTAGGTTAAACCATGTTTGTTTTTAATAATTTTAACCGGTAGCCGAAAAGGGCTGACGATTAAGACCCTCTTTGTACCATTTGAGGACAATTTATTTTGTTACATTTGAGGACAATTTGTTTTGTTACTCTTCGGAAGATGTGAAATTAATCTTTTTGTTACACATTAGCGGTTTCCCTTGCTCTAAAGACGATTGTGATTCGCTATTTACTAATCCTGTACTAAATAAACCATTATTTTAACTATTAACTATTAAATGTTAAATATTAATTGTTGCTCTTCTGGGTGACGTCAGCAAATCACTCGCAATGTCGGACTCCAAGCAAGCAGCACAGAGTTACCAAGAAAAGACGGTACGTCAAAGAGAGATAGGAAAAAGTCTGATGAACGATGTAGAGATTCATCGCGGAGATGTCATCTTAGATTTGGGCTGCGGTACTGGAGAATTGTCTGCGTATTTGGCCGAGCTCGTAGGTCAAGATGGACGAGTCGTTGCCGTTGATCCTGATGTCAATCGGCTTCAAGTGGCTCAAGAATCACACGGGGATGTAAAAAATCTCGCATTTCATGAGGGAAGTTCTTCAAACTTCCCAAGAATGGGTTCAGAGACTAACGACATCGTCTTCGCTAACTCTGTGTTTCAACGTATCCAGGATAAAGAAGAAGCGTTCAAGAACATGTTTCGGAGCCTAAAACCAGCGGGGAAAATTGCCCTGTCTTACGGCGATCACTTTATTTCTGGATTTCAAAAAATTTATCGTGGACTTCAAAACTCAGAAATGATGGAACTCATGCTAAGCAAACTTTATTTCGAGAGAAGGTAAAAAATTGAGGGCATGTGTTCGGCTGCGGGATTCGACATCGTTAAAAGTTTCGACGTCAAGATGAAAGATTTTGAGTTCGAAAATGTTGAAAGTATGTGCTCATTTTACTCGGTATATTTGCAAGATGCGTTTGATCCAAAGCTCGTCACGAAAGACAAATTATCGAGTTTTTGTGCTCAGTACACAAGTGGGATAAATTCTACACCGCTAAAACTGTATACTGATGAAGAAGATTACTACTGTATATTGATAGCAGCCAAATCATAAAGAACGTGACGGCCTTTTAGATTATTGTTAGATTTGCATCAGAGAAGCTTGGTTGCGTACTCGAGTTCCTGTGGAATTCGTAATATATCGTTTATGGCCGGAACGTTTGTTATGTAAACGAAATGACCATTTAGTTTGCTGTGTGGAAACAGTAAAGCACTATGTCCCTGATTAAAAACAATGCCAGTGAAGCGATGAGAATCGGCATCAATGTAGCCGTTTTTGTTTTGAATGCGTGAAGTTATGAATTTGTTTCCCCGAAAACAACGCATGTAATCTCGGTAACATTTATGAAGCCAGAAATTGATTTTCTTCAGTTAACCTAGTCCTTCCAGTGGGCGACATTTCGTGTCAAAGACTGTGTAAATTTGGTCATATGCATATGAATAAAGTTATGGTTGAATTTGCAAAATGTTAGAATACTTTTCAACTACTGCGCAGGCGGGTAACGCAAGGTAATTGTTATTGCGGTCAGATGACGTTATCTCGTTACGGAACAATATTTATCCACGCAGATAAATCAGATCTTTTTTCTTTCTCTTTAAGATAAAGTAATGAGATATTTTCGTAGTCAGATTTTCCGTTACGCTCTTATAATGTTACAAAAATGAAAACATCAGTTATAAAGAGTGTCCCTCCCCAAACAGCCCCCAAAAAAATAACTCTTGCATGCGTTCCATGCTAATGCTTTCTTAATGGAGGGGAGCTGTAGATATAGCGAAATTATGGAGATGAGCTCGTCAATTATTATCAATTGTTTGTATATAGAATAGAGAAAGATGTTTTTAGTCTTGTCACGAGCGTAGGACAAAGGAAAAGAAAAAGAAAAACATCCGAGTTCCCATGAAGAATCGAACCTCAGACCTTCGGATTCCGTGGTCCGCGGTTTTACAATTAATATGTCGGGATATCAGCCCTGTTTGAGCCAATCGTGACGATGAGTTGCAAGCAAATATTAAACGTATTGTCTCTTTCTACGCACCAAAAATTTACGTTGTAATTTTTTTGACCTAAGTGAAGGGAGGAGTTCCACATTTATCGTGAACTTAGAGCAAGGAATAATTACTCTTTCGAAAGTATTCTCGTTCCGTGGCAGTTTCCTTGACAATCATCAATAGTGAGTTCGCTCTTTCGCTCGCTTCCACCACCTGAGGGCCTGAGTCGGACCTGATACCTGATTTACTGGGACTAAAAAAGCACAGAAGACTCTGTTACCTCTGTCATAGCATTGTGAATATAGAAAATAT